AACAATTTGGATTGAGGAAGTGATACTTTTAAGTGACTTGTGTAGAAAGTTTTCAACATTTCTTCAATTTAATAACAGGATCAAATATTTTAATGACTGTTTGGGAACGTTTTCCTTTGCTTGCCCAGTTTTACGCAAGACATAATGAAATAAAGCTTCAGCTTCTTTAAAATGATTCTTTGAGGACATGGGGTTCTGTGCTTCCAATGACTTTCACTATTGATTGCCACTTTCTTGTTGTGTTTTTTCTTTAATCCCAGAAGAAGTTAGCAGTGTATGCCAAGATGCAAGAATCTCTGGAGGTGACCCTTCCCAGCAAACAAGAGGAAGATGAGAAAGACCAGCCTGCTGAGATGGAGTACCTTAACTCTCGCTGTGTCCTTTTCACTTACTTCCAGGGAGACATTGGTTCAGTAGTGGATGAGCACTTCTCAAGAGCTTTGAGCCAAGCCAGCAACTTCAACCCAGAAACTGCCCTTTCAAAAAGCAAAGCAGGTCTGAGTCCTCTATGGAGAGGTAAGAAAAACAAGAGTTTAACCTTGTGTTGTTTAGCTTAATCTGTTTCATGACTGCAAACACTGTGTTCCTGCTGGAATCTTGCATCTGTGGTGGTGGTGGAAATATCCCCTTGGTCTTCAGGGAAGCAGCAAGGAATTTCTTGGAAGTAAGTGGCTAAGAGTGACAAGTAGGGAGCAAGAATCAAAGGTCTGGAGGAAGTTGGCTCTTGAAATTCACCTGATGCTCAGTGCTTCAAGATGAGGTCTCTGAGGGACCAGCACCAGCCATTATGCGAACTACTGAAAGAACTGAGGTATAACTTTCACCCCCTCAATGTGAAAAATTTGGCCCCAGAGGTTAAAAGAAGGATGAGCTAATTGTTATGATGTTAGCCAGGAAGTCAGAAGACCTGCATCCATTTCCTTGCTATGCCACAGACAGTCAGGGTCTCAGTGGCTCTATTCCCCTTCATCAAGTGGGGATAATACAATACTTAGAGGAGTGTTGTAAGCATAAGTACATTAGAGATTGTAAGGCAGCCAAACACTATAGTAACAGATAGGAGGCACATGCCTCTAGATAGATAAGCAGTAATTCTGGCTACCAAACCAGCTTGTTTTTAGAGAATTACAAAATTAGTGAATGGAAAAAGAGCAAGAGAGATATTTGATTTTTTGTAAAAAGAGAGGGACTGTTTTATGCAATCTCTCAAAAATGTAATGGTATAATTGAAGTCATTCTATAATTATATGGACTATAAGTTGGCAGAAGGGCTGTAGGCAAAAGTTCATTAACAAGTGTATCAAGTTGGGGAGGTTAAGATACCACAGACCAGTGGATCATTCAACAAACTGAACTTGCTGAATGAGCTCGAATAGGGAGCACTTGCAGATGATAAACAGACAGAGGAATTTTGAACTTCACTGAGAAAAGAGAAATAATACAAAATGATCTTCTTTCCAGAAAGACATTAACAAATAAGAGGGTGTGAAGCAAAGGGCAACAAAAATGGCTGGGGAGCTCAAGGGATTTATGGTTTAACCCTGCATTATTAAAGTGAATGGGTGCTTTTCCACTAATTTAAATAGGAGAACATTAACTTGAACAGACTTGAATAGGAGTGGGATCAACCTCACTGTTACAAAGAAAGATCAAGTATTTGGAAATGGCTAGTGTGTCCTTCCAGATGAGCTATAAATATTATACAAATATGATCATACTACTGCCCAAACAGTGAGTAGAGAGGACTCTCTGCATAGAAATCTTGTACATCTTACACTGAAGAAGAGGAAAAGCCTATAATCTCTGTGGCATCATATATCTCCATGCACTTTTTCTCTAAGATGTCTCCATGGTTCCCCTTGGGGCTCTGAAGGGACAGACAGTAGCCCAAATAAGAATGCCTGACTCACAATTCCCCATGATGCAGAGAACCCTGTGGTATGAAAGTATTCCTGGGATTTGCAAGAGGTTTTACCTGCCCCCTAGGCTCTTCATGCATTCCAGGTACCCTAGATCCTGTAGTTCGCACTCCCAGAGAATGAAGAGCATGTTTGTTTTTCAAGATAAAAGGCTGAAATGGATTTTGTCATGGCCAAACTAATGTCTAAAACAGAGCAGCTTGAAAAAAAGGAAGAGGGAAAGACACTCAGCTGCTTCAGTGTCCATTCGTTAAGGTTAAAGAGGCTCAGTGCAGCACATGTGTATTGCTTTATACGGACTCCGTGTTCTTAGGAAGTTGATAATTTGCATTTATTATTGCCTTTCAGAAAGATGCAGAAAAATTGTGGAAGTGGGTAGGAGCAGGTTGCATATTATTCTTTTGTTGGATTATTTGTCTTGTGTCCTGAAAGAAGGATAATAATATTATCCTTCTACTTTTTCACCTGAATTCATGATGGAGGTGCCATTTGTGATTCCATAGATAAGGTTAGCTATGTTTTGACTTAAGGTATTCAACTGTTCAACTTGTGTGTGCGTGTAGCATCCATTATTCTTTTACATATCAAATGCATTTGCAAAAAAAAAAAAGTATAGTTGTTTATATTGCTCATTTTTAAAGTTGATCTTTTAAGAGAGTTAGTACCGAGGGTCAAACCTTTGATTTTTCTTTTTATCCCTGACAAATTAAATAATACAGATTCTTCAAACTTTCCATGCAGTTGAAATAAACTGAAATCTAAGCTTTGGAAAAGTTTTTAGAATTAGTGGTATTTTTTTCCCCCATTTTCTTTCATAATTCAAATATATTTTTTCCTTTTTCATAGATTCATAGATGTAGGGTTGGAAGGGAACTTGTAGATCTTCTAGTCTGACCCCCTGCCCTGGGTAAGAGAGAACTGGGCTCAAATGACCCCAGCCAGGTAAACGTTGAGCCTCCTCTTAAAGATCTCTGGGGTAGGAGTGAGCACCACTTCTCTTGGAAGTTGGTTCCAGATCCTAGCCGCCCTGACAGTGAAGTAGCGCCTCCTGATGTCTAGTCTAAACATATTGTCTAGCAACTTATGGCGGTTATTTCTTGTTACTTCGGGAGGTGCTCGGGGGAACAAGGTCTCTCCTAAACCTTGCTGGTCCCCCCAATAAGTTTTTTAGACAGCCACCAGGTCCCACCTCAGCCTTCTCTTGCGAAGGCTGAACAGGTTCAGATCCGTTAACCTCTCCTCATAGGGTCTGCCCTGCTGCCCCCTGATCATGCCAGTGGTCCTCCTCTGGACCTTCTCAATGCTGTCCACATCCCTCCTGAAGTGCGGTGCCCAGAACTGGACGCAGTACTCCAACCGTGGCCTGACCAGTGCCGCATAGAGGGGGAGGATCACCTCCTTGGACCTGCTTGAGATGCATCTGTGGATGCAGGACAAGGTACGATTAGCCTTACTGACTGTGTCCTTGCATTGTCGGCCCATGTTCATCTTGGAGTCAATAATGGCTCCAAGATCTCTTTCTGCCACTGTGCTTTTGAGAAGGGAGTTCCCCAGCCTATAGGTATGCTGCTGGTTCTTACTGCCCAAGTGTAGCACCCTGCACTTGTCAGTATTGAATCCCATCCTACTTTCATTTGCCCACCCCTGTAACCTGTCCAGGTCTTACTGTAATCTGTCCTTCCCTACTAGTGTGCCCACCTCACCCCAAATCTTGCTGTTGTCTACAGATTTAAACAGGCTGCTCTTTACCCCGTTGTCCAAGTCGCTAATAAAGAATCACTATAGCAGTAACTACAGAACATTATATAAACTATTTTCTTCCTAGCATGCATACTGTGGCATTTTTTCAGTGCAATACACTTCATGTTGGCCACTACTAAATAGTTAAGAATTGCAGTCAGCTATCACTGTAGTACCTGAGAGATTGCAACCTCTGGCCTCCCCCACAGAATAGGAAATGGTTGTGGTAACTATAGTATGTTTCTTGGCCATGCTTTTATTTTATTTCATTTTTCATGAAGACCAATTTAAGTTGTTTGGTGTATTATTTTCTTTTTGTAGGGTCAGTGTCACAGTTGATAGCACTGAATGGTTAAAGTAACACCTCCTCTACCCAGATAGTTTTCTCATTATTAAAATGTCCCCATAGGACTTAGGCTCTTACTTGTGTATCTTATAATGTAGCACTGGCAAAAACTATTGACCACACTTGCAGATTTTGTAAGGTGAGGGGGAAAGAAGAATCCTCAGCTATAATGGAAATATACATCCTCATGTGTGCTATAGTTGGCTGTGGTTCAACTTGGAGGCTGATACAATATGTAATGGACATTTTTGTTGATGGTATCATACATTTAGTGCCTGCAAAAAAAAATGCTGTTTGATAGGCTTGTTGGGCAGTCTTCTTTTTTATGCACGTAAGATGAAAAGAATGAGTAGGGGAGTTTAAATTGCCTTGTCAATATTCTTTTACTGTGCGCAGTAGGGACTACCTTGTCCCCAAGGGAACTTCTTGTCCCATTCACCACTTGGCATTGCAATTGAGGTGACAGCAAGAGCCAAGTGCCACAGGTAATGGTTTTATAAAACAGGCTCTTGTTCAGTAGGAAGTAGACTAAGAGAATCAAACACATGTTTTTTATACTTCAGACCCAATTTAGAACAATTGTATGTCTAGCTGACTTTGTCAATATGGCCTGTAATTCATATTCACAAATATGCTGGTTGAAGGCTCTTATCGTATTGCTAATAACATTAACTGAGTGGTTAAACAACAATTTCTTTGCATAAGGGTCTTGTTTTTTGAGGTGATTCATCTTTGGAGCTTCTCTGCCTTGAAAGTCACTATAATGTTTGTAACAATTTCTACTGAAAATAAAGATAAAATACTGGGTACAGAGTGCTGAGCTCTGTTTTAATCTAAAGGAAGGTTGTATCATAGTGGTGAGAGCAAAGGATATAAGAATTGCCTTTTACTGGGTTGGACCATAGATCCATCTGGCCCAGTATCCTGTGTCTCAGTGTATGCTGAAGGGGAGAGTGAACTGGGGGTATGACCAGGGTTTTTTCCCACTCTTCCTCCCTCACTTGCAGCCTCCAGCATTTAAGGTATAGGAAGTTCTAACTCAGAAACTGCATGCCTAACTCCCGTTATCAGTAGCTACTGATGCCCCTTTCCTCCAATAATTTTTTTTCCAGTCCTTTTTTGAATTGGGCTAAACGGTTAGCTTCCAAAACATCTTGTGGCAATGAGTTTCATACTTGAATTGCACATGGTGTGGAAAAGAACTTCCTTTTGGTAACTTTAAACATACTACCTACTAGTTGTGTTTTGTAGTCCCTAGTTCTTGTATTGTGAGACCAGTAAATAATAAATCCCTATTTCCTTTCTTTTGACACTCAGTATTTTGTAAGCCCTTATCATGTCCCCCCTTAAGTGTTTCTTTTTCTAAACTGACTAAGCCTAGCCACTTTAGTCTCTCCTCACATGGAAGCACCTCCATAACATTAATCTTTGTTGCCCTTCTCTGTACCTTCTCTAGACCTTCTATATCTTTTCTGAGGACCAGAACTAGGGACAGTATTCAAGGTGTGAATTCACCACGGATATAGGAAGGGGCATAATGATGCTTTCAGTTTGGTTTAAAATCCTCTTCTTAATAATCCCTACCATTTACTTTGCCTTTCTGATGGCTACTGAGCACTGAGCTGATGTTTTCGGTGAGGTGTCCACAAGGAGTCTCGTATCTCTTTCCTGTGTGGTAAAAGCTAATGTAGAGCCAAACATTGCAGGTATAGTTTGTTTTCTGCCCACCTGCATTACTTTATACTTACTTGCATTGAATTTCAACTGCCATTTGCTCAACCATCCTTCTGTAGTTGCTTAGTCTGCTTTGGTCTTTACCACTTTGAATAGTTTTTTGGTCATCCACAAATTTGCCCACCTCATTACTTACTCCCTTTCCAGATTAGTTATGAATATGTTAAATAGCACGGGTCTCAATGCAAATCCCTAGGAGACCCTGCTGTTTACTTCTTTCCATCCTGAAAACTATGTATACTCACTCTTGGTTTCTATCTTTAAGCCAACATTTAACCCACAAGTGGACTTTCCCTGTATTCCTGTGACTACCTAATTTAGTTAAGAGCCTCTGATGAGGGACCTTGTCAAAGGCTTTTTGAAGTCCAAATATACTATGTTAACTAGATTGTCCTGAATATTTTGGAAGTGAAAGTCTACCATCTCCTTCCCTTTCCCCGCTCGAAGTCTGTTACCAAGTCTGTAGGCAGTTTATTTGCACTCTTTTTGCCTATTTGTAAAATGGGGGATAATACCTATTTCAGAGGAATGATGCAAGGTGTAGGTAAGCAAAATTGCTGAAGTACTTTGAGATTCTCTAGTATGAGGTGCTAGAAAAGTTTATTACAGAAAACTGAATCACACTTTTTAAATAAAGACACAGAGTTGTATTTTATTAGATAGCCTTTTAACATTTGAAGCAGTTTGGTATGAAGGTAACTTTTATGTACAAAACCAAAATGTGTTTGCCAAAGAAAATATCAGTATTAGAAGTTATTCATATTCAATTGGCTGAAGTGGCCAGATTCAAATCCTGTTGGAGGCGACAAAAAGACTCCCATTGATTTTAATGGATTTTGAGTCAGACCCATAAATATGTTATAGTGATGCAGTCAGACAGACAAAGCATTTTTATAGTTTTTATGTTTCAAGGACATTTTTGTTTAAAGGAAACAAAGTTCAGATTAATGGGTTTGGAAGCACACATTCATTCTTAAAGATGTCTGCACCCAAGTCTTTTTTTCTGCAGTTGCTTGTTTAAAAAAATAAAGGTAATTTTTTGTCAAATCATATAAATATTTTTGCAGACTTTATATGGTTTAGGAGGATTCCCTAACTGATCCTACATAAAACTTTCCCCACCTTTGTTTTCTCCATGGGGTATTTTTATGGTTTTGGTATCTCTGTTCAGGCTAGAGTCCTGAATTTTAACATTTCCATCTTTGACCAAAAAATTCTATTTTAAATTGGTGAATATTTCAGGATGGAAGACTTTAAAACAGGACTTTTGACTAGGAAGCCAGGATTCTGGAGGTGTTCATTTTCTTACTACAGTTCAAACCCACTAACCACTCCTTGGAAAGAGGGACTTTTAAAAATATGATGTCATAATACAATGGCATTGAATTGGGTTTAAACATGCACATATTGAATCCATATTGCAAAAGCACATAGGTCTTTTATTGAAGACTTAATCTACTTCCCATTAATTAGTTTATTCGGTTTAAAGTTGTTTTATAGATGGAGCTTTACCCAAAAGTATGTGACGAGTTGCAATCTCTGTTAGTAATTCTACTGGAGGAGGACTTAAAACACGAAAACATTTATTTTCCACGGTCAGTTTTGTTGACTGTGCAGTGACTGAAATCATATTGGATGTGAGACCACTTTTGAATTCTGTAATTCAATAGGTATTAGGCTTGATCCCATCAATAAAAACACTTAATCAATTAAAATTTATATGGGCCAGATTCTACTACATGTATTACGCATATAGGAGGACCTAGGAGCCTACATGCAACTCTGTTCACTCTGCTTGAGTACCTGAATACTTATTAGACTGTCTACTTTTGTAACAACCTCTATTTTATCGTTAATATTGAGTCATAAGAAAGCAGTGGGAGGGAGGAAAACTCACCTACCTATTGTTTTAACAGTTTTTCAGGAACTAGAGTAGAGTTGAATAGTATCGCATTTAGGTGCCGGTCCATTTATGCACCTGTTGTCTGGCCCAGGGTATTAGTCACATACAAAAACTAGTAGCAAATGCTTAAATCAAGTGCATCTCTTTATTCACAAGCCTTCAGGGAGAAATTATACTGAAAGAGTAGCATTAACTATCATGAAGTTTTTAAATTAAGGCTGAATGTTTTTTGAAATTATAAATTGTAGCTCAAACAAGTTTTGAGTTTGATGCAGAAATTACTAAGAGAGATTCCATAGTCTGTTATACAGGAGGTCAAATTCAAACTAAATGATGTCATTTAAAGTATACCATATTTACTTGAATATAAGACAAGCCCTCAATAATTAGATTCTATATATGGGAAAATATTAATTTGTTAAGTAGAATCTAATTATTGCAGGTTAGCCTTGAATTTGCCCCCTTCCCACTGCTACATCAGGGAAAATAAATCTAAGAGGGGTCAGGTAGCCCTCTTTAATTCTGCCCCTCCTCCACAGTTTCTTCCCCCTGTAGCCCCTTTACTGTCAGACCCTAATATCTCTCAGCACATGGAAGTGAGGGGCAAATTTGAAAACACTGACTTCAAAATAAACATGCCTGTAGTAATCTGCATGACTATGGGTACTCACAAACTTATTTCATCCAGAATTGATGCATATTACCTGTTTGGAAATTGCTTCAGGTTTTAGCAAAGGTACTCCATAAACATACTTTTAAACCGAACTTCTTATATATACCTTCATATATATAGTAGAAACTATGCATGATATTAGTCCAAAGCCAAAAGGCTCATGATTTACCATATAGTTCATTGGGCTGGGTCCTTGCAGAGTCAACAGCATTTCAAGCCATGCTGACCTTTTATATCTCAGCACTATCAGTATGTGTGTGTACTTCAGATACCTCCTCCCCACAAAACAAAGGTTCCATGTGCTAATTAGCCCCCTACTCATGACAGGTGTGCTTGTCACAAGCCCTGGGATCCTCTAAAATTCTATATACAGATGAGGTGCAACCTGGTCTGGCTCCACCTCATGGAAGGCAGGGCCACACTAATCATACATAACAGGCTGAGGGAGGTGGGGCAGAGGGATCCTCTGTGAACCATTTAGGGGCCCGTTTGATGATGTTTGCCACACATTTAAGGCTGGTGAAGAAACGGAAATAATTGGAAATAGGAAAGAAAGGCACAGCTCAACTGTGAGAGTGAAGAGGAAGTCAAAATGTAGTGGTTCACCATGACTTGAAAGAGTTGGTGCTGAGGGTGACTGTGTGCAATGGACACTGATACCTATTTTATTTAGATAGGCTGTATTAATCTATTTTTGTGGTAGGTATCCATCAGTATGTTTGCCCAATATGGGTCATGTGTTATAGTTCTTCTTGGTATTGACTGCATTTAATCAACTTCATAGTTGGCTTCCATTACTGAGCACATGCTGCTTTTGGCAGCAGTTTAATGATAGGCAGTGCATTGAATGAGGTTCCCTTGCATGCAAATGTGAAATGAGAAGCTAATTCTGGAAAAAAATCTCAGCTTGTATTTGAGTAAATGCAATGTTACTCCAACCTTCTTCTCTTCCCTTCCAGAGAGCTCAACGGTTTCAAGTCAACGAAGCAGTTTTCCAACTTCATTTTGGACTGGCTCCTATCAACCTCCACCTCCACCATGTTTGAGTGGAGTTCATCCTGACTTCCCCGTTACTGCATCAAGCACCTTCCCAACAGCAGATCCTAGCAGCTGGCCAGGACACAGCCTTCATCACACTGCCCCGCCTCCTCCTCCTCCTCCTGCATCAGATTCCTGGCATTATCCTTTAACATCTCAGGTGAGCCCTTCATATGCACACATGCATGATGTGTACATGCATCGCCATCACCCCCATCCACACATGCACCATCATCACCCCAGCTCACACCATGACCCCCGATATGGATCCCTGCTGATGCCTTCAGTACGTGCAGCCAGGATTCCTGCTCCGCAGTGTGACGTGACAAAGACAGACCCTACTGCTGTCACCAGTGCTACCTCAGCATGGGCTGGAGCCTTTCACGGAACAGTGGACATAGTACCAAGTTTTGGTTTTGATGCAGGTAATGTAGTTTGCTTATCTCCATGGCTGGTGTAACAGGAAATATTTTGAATAACTAAACAGACTCTAAGTAATTAAACTGGCCTTCATATCGGTTTTTTAAATGATATCTTGGGGTGTGACTTTCTCCCCATAAGCACTGAAAAGCTGTGTTTTAGAATGCCACTAACAACCTAGCTCACAGGCTGTCCCCTTACTGTAACAGAGCTTCAGTTTCATTAGCAGTGCAGCATCACTGGTTGCAGCTGTATTGCATCTTCTGGGCAGGGCATTGACTGGTAACTTATAGTATGCTCAGGTCAGTTGTACTGTTGTCCCATTCCTTTTTTGGTGGGCATTTATCTGATATGTTTTCTACTAGCAGCTAAGCAAACTTTGCTGTTATTTCTGGAGTCTTATACATGCAACCATATCACTAAAAAAAATCTTAGGTTCTTTCACCTCCTTTCCTTGAGGTGTTTGTCTGGATTTCAGTGTGAGGGGATATACATAACTCTAGCTGAGTGGAGTAGAGTTTGAAGTAAGAATTATTGTTTTGTTTAGTGTGTCGAGGGGAATAAAGAACAGGCAGGAAATACTAAAGAGCCCACTAAGAATCAGGATGGGGGAATACTAAAGGCAGCTATCAGGGGCCTTAGATGTCTCTATACTAATGGTAGAAGTATGGGAAACAAGCAGGGGCATTGCTCTATATGTTAGGGAACATTATACATCCTCTGTAATAAAGATGGGACAGAGGACGGGCAAATTGAAGTCCTATGGGTCAGATTACAAGGGGGTAGGGGTGAAAGGAACTTGGTAGTGGGGGTCTACTACAGACCCCCACACAAGGGGGTAGAGTTATACCTAGAATTCTTGAAACATCTCTCAAAGGCAGCATGCTCAAAAGACCTAGCTGTCGTGGGTGACCTAAATTACCCAGACATCTGCTGGGAGGAGCAGTCGGCCAGGTCTTCCTGTTCACATAGATTCTTAACCTGCATACAGGACCTGCATCTAACACAGGAGGTATGCAGTCTCACTAGGGGAGATGCCTTACTTGACTTGGTGCTGGCCTCAGGGGAGGACTTGGTGGGGGAGCTATAGGTACAAGGTAACCTAGGGGATAGTGACCACCAGGTGATAGGATTCACTATCCGGCATAAGGTGGCAAAGACGCATAGTAGGGCAGTAGTGCTAGACTTCAGGCAGGCCAACTTGAACGAGCTCAGGAGATTGGTTAGGGTGGGACTGAGGGGTGATCGCATCT